GGCGTCATAGCGCGGCCTCTCCTAAATCAGTCTCCGTTTCCTGGTTTATGCCGCTGTAAGTGCGCGACACACTCAGGGACGAGAGATGCGCGACGGCGGTCTCACTTTTGTGGGGCAGTAAATGCTTCGACGCTATTTCAGAGAAGCGCGCGGCGTAATTTGTTTTTTGCGCGGAGAGCACGCAGGCCGTGCCGTACTCGGCGGCGCCTCTCGGCGGCCTAGTGCCCCGCAGCCAGTTGAATGATGGGCACGGCGGCGCTCGCACCGCAGCTGCGCAGCTGCGCAGCTGCCCGGCCGTCACACCAGCTGCAGCTGCGGCGGCTGCGGTGCGGGCGCGCGGCAGGAACAAAGCAAGGCGGAGCAGGGCGGAGCAGGGCGGCCGCACAATGCCCTTCCAAGGCTCTGCGGATGTGTCAGGGGGAATGACAGCTGGCACCTCGGCCTAGAAGCGCCACCGCCCGACCCCCTTTTCTCCTCGCTCTCTCTCTCTCTCTCTCTGTCTCTCTCTCTGTCTCTGTCTCTCTGTCTCTCTCTCTCTCTCTCTCTCTCTCTCTCTCTCTCTCTCCCCCTCTCTCCCTCTCTCCCTCTATCCCTCTATCCCTCTATCCCTCTCTCCCTCTATCCCTCTCTCACTCCTTCTGTCTTTGTTCTCCCTCACTGGTTCTCTCTGTCTCTCCGGCACTGCCTCATGTTCTTTCGCACTCACTGTGACCTCCGGGCCGCGCTCCGCCGGACGTTTTCTCGAGTTTCGCAATCAACACAGTGCTACTTCCGCGGATGGCTTCTTCGGGACTACCCACCAGCCCCACACCGCACAATGTGCTTATACACAGTGCCCCGAGTGATGGGTGGCTCCGGTTTAGTTTTACATGCTGTCGAAAAACCCCTTTTGGAACTTCAAGTTCAGTCACCGCCCAGCATCCACCACTCGACTCGATGCTTGCCTGCTAATAATTTGACTCTCTCTCTCTCTCTATCTGTCTATCTCTCGCTCTCTCCTTCCCTTTCTCCATCTTTCCCCTGCTTCCCCTGGCGCGCGCGTCTCTGCCGCGGTCGCAATACCGCGGAGACGACGACGCTCGGCGTGGCTCGGCGTGCTTTGGAATGGATGAAGGTGAGCACGGCGGAGCACGGCGCGCCAAAGGATGGGGGCAATGCACGATATTCAGTCCGGCGTGCGGACGAGACCGTGGCGAGGCTGGGCGGGGTGGGGCGGGGCGGGACCGGGCGTTGTAGCGAGGAGG